AACCCATCCCTTTTTACCTACTTATCTCATTTCATTGGTCAATATGCCTTCCCCACTATTTTGCAGAATATTGATAAAAAAAACAATTAGTTAAGCTAGGAAAAAAATGTGTCTCTAGAATTTAGTCTTCTGTAACTCACCAGCCAAGCAAGACATAGCTCTGCTTGTGCCGCATTTGATCAATTTAAAAATAAAATAAAAACACTTAGTAAAAAAAAGTGTTTCATTTCATAGAAGTTATCATCATATCATAAATTAGTGCTTTGTTACTGATCACATAGCTTGATTATCATTATAAATGATTAGATAATCGGTCTTCTTTTCCATTTTAAAGACAGCTCATATGTAGATAGAAAGATCTATTTAAGTTACAGCACCTCACCCAATGAGACAGTCGCTAAGTTACTGTTAACGTACCAATGCGAAACAATAGATTAATTAAAAAGTAAAAGAACAATTGTTTATAATTTCTACACATCATATCATAAATAGAATTAAAAAAATCAGCAGAAATGTTTCGTACCACATATGATGCAGAAAAAAAACAATGGAATGGTGTGAAAACGACGTCTTTTGCACTTGAAACTAGTTTGGGGAGCGAAATTTTAAAAATTCTCCAAAAGAATGGACCTCGAGTTGCTCAGGTGAATTATTTTGTGGCATTTTTATCATCTACTTGAATTGAATTGTTGGGAATGAAAATGCATTTTGAGAAATGGGAGAATATAATCGAAATTAAGAAATGTGTTGAATAAAAGTGAACCATAGATTTTAGCTCAAAGACACCTTGAAATAAAATCCAAGTCCACTTTGGTCCTTTCATTTTTATTAAAACTTTTTTTTGGTTCGCTTCTAACGGAGCACTTTTTCAAGTTTAATTTTATTGAAACTGCCGTTTCCCAAAATGTATATTCATTGTTTGTTCATCAAAGTCGAAAACATTAAATAACAATTTTATAAAGACAATAGGTTGAATTTTGAAAATATGAACGGGTATAATAATAACTTAAAGAAGAAAACAGTACGTTAAATATAGCAATTTTACAATATTTATTTAGATCTGTGCGAAAACCGGCACATGTGCAACATTCAATGATTTATATTCATTAACAATATGCGCGGCGAAAAGTCTTCGGAATCTTGGGTGTAAAAAAGGCGATTTGATTTATTTCTGCACGAAAAATAATGCAGATATTACTCCAGTTGTGTATGCTGCATTATGCTTAGGGTGTGCAGTAAATGGAGAGAATCCAATATATGGAAGCGTTGAGATCCGTCCCAAACTGAGTTACTTGAAACCAAGAGTTGTGATTTGTGATCGAGAATGTTATACTTTGTTGAAGGAATGCATGATCGACATGAATATAACTGCTGACTTTTTTATTATTGATGATCAAACAGTTGATGCTCGTCCATTGAATTATCTGTTGCAAAAGACTGATGATGATTCAGATTTCGTGTAAGTTGGTAGATAGAGTACTTTCATGATTGAAATACAAATTAAATTTTATTTTGCAGACCGGCCGAAATAAATATTACCAAGGATGTAGCATTTTTCAATTATACTTCTGGTTCAACGGGAAATCCGAAAAGTCAGTTAATAATAAATTCAATTTTTATGTCATTTCCTATGATATTTATTTCAATCATTAATTGAATTTCTTCCTCTTTCTAAATTTATTCAGCCGTCCCTCTAACGCACGCAAATGTTCTTGACAAATTGCGAAAATATTCAGCACTGATTGAAGTAGGAGATACTATGTTGGGATGGGCCCATTTCAGGGGTATTTCCGGAGTAAGATTTCTAATCAGTGGGACATTGAGTGGAGCAAGACGAGTTGTCAATCAAGGCGCATTCACACCGGAACGATTTTTCAAACTCGTACAAGAATTCAATGTAAACGTTACTTTTCTAAATGACTCGTCACAAATCCATCAGTTGCTAAAGCATCCGCAAATCAAAACAGCTGACTTATCAAGTTTAAAAATGTTACATTGCGCTGGTACAATAGTACCTCTACATTTTATTGAAAAGATGAATTCCCATTTGGGAAGTAGTAAGTTTTGCAATAGTTTCGGCATGACCGAGACGTGCGGAACAGTGGCAATCAATCTGTATCATTCGAAAAACAATTGTACTGGACAATTGATCGGCGATTGTGAAGCCAAGATTGTGAATGAACAAGGAGATCGGTTGGGTGTGAATGAGTCTGGTGAACTGTATTTGAAAGATCCATTTATGTTCGAAGGCTATTTGGGAGACGATGGAAATGCAAGTCAACACTTTGATAGAGAGGGTTTCTTCAGAACTGGGGATATTGCTCATTTTGATGAAAACAGCGATCTATTTATTACTGATCGAAAGAAAGAGCTATTCAAGTATATGGGTTACCATATAATTCCAAACGAAATACAGCAATTTTTAGACCAAATAGATGGAGTGGACGAGTCGTGCGTGGTACCAGTCCCGATTTCGAAATATGTCTTAGCACCAGCCGCTGTCATCATTAAAACCAAGAATTCAGCTTGCACCGAAGAATTCATCTATGACGCTGTATCGAGTAAGATTATTTCATTTACTTAATATTAAAATTGAATATAAAATATCTCTCATGAAATTTTAGATTCTTTTGCTGATCATAAACGACTTCGAGGTGGAGTTTATTTTGTCAATTCAATTCCAAGAACTGCTACGGGAAAAGTTAACCGACGTTTGGTCGCTGAGATGGCGCTAAAATTTTATAAAGACAAGAATATGGTCAAGAGAAACAACTGAAACAGATCTGTTGACCGTTGAGTGTTCTTTTTTATTTATTTGTGTTCTTCTACAAAAATCTTATTAAATTTATAGCTTTTTTCTGCATTAATTTATTTGCTAGGGGTTTCACGCAAACTCGAAGGCCGAAGATTTTACTAAATAGCTGGAAATATAACCATTTTATGTGTAAATTATAGATATTGCTTCTTTTTATTCATAAACTCGAATTTTTTAGAATTTTTTGAATCTAAAAATTCTGGAAGTGGGTTTTGGTGGATCCTCAGGATTGTTCAAAACCGCTCCTGGTTCTGGAAGTGGATCCTCGGGATGGACCAGGGCATTGTTAAACCCAGTCTGATCCATCCTGAAGATCCACCAAAACCCACTTCCAGAACATAATTATCAAGGTGAATGTTGAAATATTTCGAAATAATACGGATTTTGGTGAATCCCAGAGAATTTTAGAGAAAAGAGAGAAATATTGAAATTTTAGATGAATTTTAAGTTGCGTGAAACCCCTAGTTTATTTGTGTTGAGTATTATTTCGCTAATTAATTTAAAATAACTATACCTGTGATGTTTCTTATTACATTTGATTCAAACAAAAGCATTCGAATGGAGTAAATACAAAACTTTTTCCAGGAACCAAGAGAAATGTATGCATTTATTCAATTTAACTCCTAAAAAGGTAAAGTTATTTCCAATTTAATGGAATCATTTGTAGAAAAAAATTCGCATAAATTGTCTTTAATAGAACAGAAGAAAAATCTCTAATAAGATCATTCAGAATATTATCGAAGCATCTCATCAATCACGTTAAACTAATAACGATTGAGGTAATTTTAGCACTTCAGCGAAAATAGAAAGAAAAAATATCGAAGATACACGTCGCTGAATTCGAAAATAATCACGTTCACGAAATTAAAAATTTGAAACATCTATGAGGTTCTATTTTTATTAGTCCAATTTTCCAGCATGAGTGACGCCAAGCGACTATTCAATACAGAAAAAAGCACGTCCAAACAGATTCCAAATCAATATATATTAATGCAGCTCGCTTCGATTAGGTTTATTTCCAATGTTTATTCCATTCGAATTTGACGGTGTTCAAGTAAAGTTTTTGTTATTCTCTTCGATCGCTCATTCAGTAGAATATTATTCAACATTCATCGGTTCTTCAACTGTTAGTTAATTTTTAGACTGTGTATGGCTTCTTAACAGAAGCCTAACATGTTTGGCTTAAGTTTCATTAACAATTGAATTGTAAAATTTCAAAAACCGTAACACAAAATTTTGATTAGAACAATTTGTGGTCCACTAAAGACCATACAGATCAAAGTTAATGTTTTTAGATTGATTTCATTCTGTTTTGTGTTGTTGATTGTAAAAAAAGGGCAAATCTTTAAGAAGTTTATCAAACTATTTGCTTCTATGTGGATGCTTTGATTTTAAGTTTGTGATTCACGAGTTTTGAATAGTTTGCATTAAGTTCACATCAATTTACTTCACAGTGCTTCAGTTGCTGTTGATTGGTGCTAAGTTTTTCGTCAAGACATGGAAGTAGCTGTGTTGTTTTTATGTTTTGGAGTCATATTATGTGGTCCAACAACACCGGAACTATGGGATGAATCAACAACAATTACAATAGAAGGCATGTATTTTATTGAAAATAATTCCTCCGAAATGTTACATCTTAAATTAAAACTGACATTACTTCGAAATCAAATTTATAATTCATTCAATTAAATTTCAAAATATGAGTCGATTTTGGCTTGCTAACTATAAATTAAGAGAAACATTTTCGATTGTATCTTATTGATAATAACTAAAAACAACCATAGATCAAAAATCTACTCCGACTGAGGCTATTGCACACTTGAGTTCCATTGAATCAACTGAATCCTCAAAATCTTACCCTGTTACAATTGCTGATTGTGGTCAATGTGTGTTCGCCGTTAATGACATCTGCATATCGGTATACTTTGAGTTTTTACAAAGAAACAGCTTTGATTTCGCCTAAAATTGTTCTATCCTTTGAGTAGAATTGCACAGAAACAACAACTGAATTGAAGATTGAGACAAATGAGCTTGACCGTTCCGACGAGTCTTCATCACCTGAACCCTCAGAACCTTCACCTATCAGTACGACAGAAGACATTTCCAGTTCCACGCTCTCACAGCTGTGTGAAGAAGACGAATTTAAATGTAGTACAGGAGGATGTATCTCACGGAGATGGATTTGCGACGAAGATGAGGATTGTGCTGAGGGAGACGATGAATTGGTAAGAAATTGTCAATATTGCGTGTATCACCCTCCTATGTATTTCTATGCTAAATTCCTGAAAAATTACGATTGTTGTTGCTTTCTGTGCTTCATGGACGACACCAACAACAACATCACGTACTGCACTTGAGTGTTGTACATTTGTTTATAACAACCGCGGCAAACTACAGCATTTCATTATTCTTCACATATTTGCATTGCTTTCATTGATGCCGTTGTTACTGCTGTTACTATATTCAATATATAGCACCAAGTATTACCATGTCCGTGACGCTGCCGTCTATAAAAACAACAATAATCGTATAATTTTATGGAAATTTGTATAGAAATACCTGGAAGAGTGAAGCACTTACGACTTGTGTTTGCTTTAAATAAAATTCCAAATCGTTCTTAACTACCGTTTTTCCGTTGAATAGAATTGTTTGGAGAATCAATGTAGAGACGATGAGTTCAAATGCAGCACTGGAAAATGTATTCCGAGGGGATGGATCTGTGACTATGGTGAAGACTGTCCCGATGGAGAAGATGAATTGGTAAGAAGTTCCCGCAGTAGATATAAGTTTACAACCATAAGCCATTTAAGATTTTAGCCATAATTTTATTATTCTTTAAGCAGAATTGCACACCCGAAACGACGACTGAATGGATCAAGCCAACTGAGCCAAATAGTTCTGATGATTTCGAATCTGAAACTGAAATATATAAATCAAACGAAGAAATCGATTCCGATGAAGAAACTGCATTCGAATCAGATAGTGAGCTCGCTCATGTCGTTTACAATACACCGCAGCCATTACGTGTACGACTCTCCAATCAATATACAGTTGAGCAGAACACTGACTTTACATTGCCTTGTAAAGCCGTTGGAAAGAAGTTTGTTAAAGCGATTTGGCAGAAAATGTATGACAAAAACCTTGGCCCAAACGTACAACAAATTGGCAACGTGTTGAAAATTAGCAATGCACAACCCATAAATCATGGTATTTACCAATGCACAATCGAGGAAAATTGTCAAAATGCTACAGCTACTACCTTTATTGCCATTGAACGTAATTGTTTGAAAATCTTTAAATAATTTATGCAATGCAGTTTATTAATTATTGAAAAATATTTGTTGCAGCACGAAAGGTTCCAGTGATTAAAATCTATCCGTCTGAATCACAAGTGGTGGACGTAGGTCAACAAGTAATGTTAGATTGTCGCGTTATGGCTGGATTTCCGAAGCCAAACGTACAATGGATTCGTCGTGATCTGAAACCACTTTCATATAGAATTGAACAGCAAATGCCATGGCGTCCGGCTGGTTTAATGATCATCAGAGATATAACTGTCGAAGAAGCTGGCGAATATGAGTGCCAAGCGTCGAATATCGCGGGAAAAGTAAGCGAAATGATTTCAATCATCGTCCAAGAACAACGGCCAGTCATTTCCATTTGGCCGAATGTACAACAAATGGACGTAGTCGAAGGCACACAATTGGCTTTGTACTGTAGTGTGAATGCATCAACACCATTGGATGTGAAATGGTATGGACCTAATACAATCAGTTCAAGAAACGAATATGTGCCAAATGGGATCGTTCACTATAAGCACAATGTCAGTCGCAGCGATGAAGGAATCTATGTCTGTCGTGCTGGCAATAAAAGTGGAACTCAAAAGAAACATATCAAAGTTTCGGTTCAACCAAAGCTTGTTATGAGCAATACACCCTGAATTGCACTTGCGACAATCTCAAAGGTGAGCTACAGATTCAATTTTCAGATCAGTTGATAGAAATGAACGGCTATAGCCATTTCAAAGACACTTCGTATTCTACAACAATTGTTTGATTGATTTTTTAAACAATTTTTGCAGAAAATTTCAAGCGATTCATGATCATCTCAAATGGACAAATGACACCCGACTTCTTGTTATAAAAATATACCTTAGCATGTTAGATATTTTGTTTAGATTTGTCTCCTAATTTGATGTAGAAACGTAGTAAATACAAATAGAAATCAAGCATAATATCAATTTTGAGTTGGATGATTTTGTTTTAAAACAGAAAACTAACGAATTACTATCCGTTAAAGCCAAGGACTATCCTTAAAACAATGGTAATTTTGATTTAACACAGCAATTGGTTTGTCGTAGTATGGAGCCGAACGTACGAATATTGAGCGGTCAATCAAATACGAACATCTTTAGCGGCAATGAACTAAAACCAGTAAACTTATTATATTTTTCATAACAGCTCGGCTGTATTTGGTTTTCACGCTAAGAAAATTCACAATATTTTGATTTGTGGGTTTTATTATAATAATTAATTGAAGGCATTGATTTTGAATTATTTGTTTTAGATTCAATCAATCGACTTCATTTTTTTATACCAGCTCAGTTAGCGGAACTCTGTTATATTTAAGTTCAAACTCTGTTGACGTGGAAAAATAATTGGCAAATTTCAGTTATATAAACGAAATAAATAATTTTCCGACTGATGAAAAAATGATTTACGGCGTGTTCGATGCTACAAAAAAATCATATGAAAGATTACCAAATCAAGTTGAATAGCAAAATTGACGAAGGTGAACTAAAATGAAATTATATTGGAACACATTGCAAGGCGTTTCTTGATACTTGACTGTCTTAAGACTTCTAATTCGAGAGACACTTGGTGTCAAATGAGAATCAAATGATGCACGCCAACAACCATTCTAATAGAAAGTTAAAATGTCGACCAAAATCAATTCACAGCGAATGAATGCAGATTTTGTAAACTCGCGAGTCGAACGACCACAGTCTGAAAATAAAAATAAAAAATAAAACGCAATGGCGATGTTTTTTTCATGATTTTTGTCGGTTTTATTTGGAAAATGACAATTTTTCTCAATTCAATCGTTTAAATAAAATCAGAGGAGAAAAAATGATTTCCGAGCTTCGCTCATACTTTTCATTGTTAACATAACTTTGACCTATCGCGTAAAAATATCGTTTTTATTATTCATTTTCTTGGCTCTATCCACTTAATATTGCAATTCAGTAATTTTTTTTTTATTTTATTATTTTACAAACAGAAAAATAGAGGTTTTCCATGATAGTTTTTCTGGGCTGTTTTTTTTCTTCATTTTTCAATTTATATTCTCTTTTGTTGTTATTTATTTTTCTCTCTAAACTATTACATAATACAGGATACAGTTTGTATCGCATCTAATATCGCGTCATCGTACATCGAGTCTATACCATTTGTTTTTCATTTCTTCATTTATATATTCTTTTGATAGTGTAATAATTGTTAAAATATTTATATTATTTAATGATAATAAGAAAAAAAAAACTGAAAAATTCAACAGATTTACGTTCCACAATAAACAAAAATCAACATTTGGAAAACATTTGGAATGGAAAATTATTAAAAAAGGAAATAGTTATTTGTGTGTGTGTGTGCGCGTCATCGTTCGATCCCATTTCAATTGAATTGCCCATTTGTTGCCGAGCCATTCAAATTCAACGAGATTCGGTGATGGCATAAAAAAGAGTTGTCATTTACATTTACAGGAATGATACGTTTCAATTCTATTTTCATAATTTTCATAAAGTTAAATTACTCTGTTTCATCCACAATTTATTGCGATTTATATTCTCTAGCGCATTCATTCTGAAAACTGCTCATTACCGCGTATAAAAATATATATATTTCATTTCTTTCATTTGTTTTTCTTCTCTTTTTCATTAATTTTATCGTTTGTGTAAACTAAAAAAAATTCCCTTGAAGCGATTTGCAACAAAAAAAGTCAAAGAAATCTTTTAATCCACGCAGATGCACAATTCCGGGGTGTATTTACACATTTTCGATAATTTTGCTTAAAAATCTTGTTTTTTTTTCTCTCTTCATTTTGATATTTCTATTTCACATTCTCATTTCGACATCTTTTTTTTTCTCTCGCTCTTTTTCGTTCTATTTTTTTTGTTACGTTTTATAAATTCGCCATTTAATTAACATTTATGATTTCATTTTATTTTTTTTCATTGTTTTTATTTACAATCGACTTTTTCCCTATTTTATCGCAAAAAGACATTTAAATAAAAAGAAAACACGATGTACATTTGATCTTTTTTTTTACAATTTGTTCATTCAAAATGATGATATTTTTTCCTCTGCATATGTGTGTATGTCTTTAATTAGAAATTGCTTTACTTTAGAATGTGTTGTTCGTGTGTATGTGTGTTGTTTTTCGATTTGCCGAATCGCAATTTTAAAATTGAATCGAGGAAAATCGGTTTTAGGTGTTGTTTGTTCTTTTCTTGTTCTGCACATAGTGTCGCAAATCGCAATTATATATAGTAAAAATTTGCCTACATCAGTTTCAATGTCTTTTGCAACACAAACATTTCTTACAACACCTCTAGATGAACCGTTGACGTTGCAGCTCATTGTGGGATTTTACATTCTAAATTCACCTATTATTTTGTTTGTTCCTATTTGAAAATTTTGATTTTCGTTCATATGAATTGTTATTTGTTTTATTCTGTCTTTTTGGCAAAGCATTTCATGAATGCTGCCATGGATGTCACTCTATTTTCTTGTTTTTGTTTGGCTTATCGTCCTAACCTAAACCATAAATAATATCAGCAATCCGACTTATCCTCTTCGACCAGATGTTGTGTGTCTTTGCCGGTGTCGGCTGATGGATCTAGTTTCTTAGTCTTTAATTGTAGCGTTGGTGATGTTTTGTGTGTTATACTACTTGGAGCTAGAATTGCTGATACTGGTTCAGTGAACGGTCCATGACTACTGTTTGAACCCGATATTTTTCCATCTTTTGATACTTCTGTTGGCACTTCGTAAATACCTGCGGACAGGAGGAAAATTCCGTTTTAGTTAAGAGATGCTTCGCTTGAATATTTTTAAAGAGTTTTTCCTGAGTTTACTCACCAGAGCCATTTCCCAGTGTGGGGTCGACGTTTGTACCCGCTTGAACGGCATCGTACATTGGATTCGAGAAATCTCTCGACTTATGACTGACCGCTTGTAGATTGTATCCTTCCATCGGTGGCACATTTGGATCGAGCGGCCCGTTTGTTGCTTGATTGAAGTTTGGTGAATTGAACTCAACATTTGTTCCGTGACGGAATGAAACACTCTGTGACGGCGATAAGCTGCTTAATCGAGCCATTTTACCACTGAAATCATGAAAAAAACAGTTAATTATTTATCAATTTGAAATTCGGATGTTTTAAATTTAAGTTCATTTGTTTTAGCAGAGATGAAGGTAAACAAAATGGTTCATCCATGTACTTACAATGGTCTCTTTCGGATGACATACCAAACGCCGGCTCCGGCAAGGGAAACCAAGGCGATAACCATGATTGGAACGAAAACAGCTGCAAAGGCACCGCCTCCGTGGCTGTATGAGCTACCCATTGATCGTTCACAATGTTGGCCGGCAAAATCTGGTAAGCACACGCACATCAAATCACCCGAATCGTCCTCTTGGCACATTCCACCGTTTTCGCACGGGCAAATTCTTGGTAATGGTCTTTGTCGTTCGGCTGCCGCATCACAAATTACTTCGGCCGTGCTGCGATGCGATGTTATCGGAGCTGTGTTATCTGGACAAGAGCATCGTCGGCCACCTGGCACAAGCAAGCACAAATGCGAGCATCCACTCTTGTAACATGGATTTTTGAGCGTGGTATTGTATCGGTATTCGTGATAAACTTTGATGCCTGAGGGATTAACTAGATTTCGTTGCAGCGTCACTGGAACACCGCGACCAAATTTATCTTGTCGCACTAATTCTCCGGTATCGCGAGTTGCCCAGTAAACATTCGATTCGAAAACATCCAATGAAATCGGATGCCGAAGATTTTCACCCTTCAAAATGGTGTTTCTCAATGTTCCATCCGGTCGCATCGTTTCGATTGTATTCAGTTTGGTATCGACCCAGTAAATTTGATGCTCTTGTGCGTAATCAATGGTCAAACCGGCCGGATGGCGAATAGCATCTGTGATTAGTGGTCTTCTCTTCGAACCGTCCATCCATGAAACTTCAATTTTTGGTGCTGAACCGGCATCGGCCCAGTACATTCGTCCCAATTGTGGATTGACTGCAATTGATGTTGGCACTTCCAAACCAGCACTTACAACAGCTCTTCTATAACGGCCATCTGTCTTTGCAACAAGTACACGACCTCTTGGTTTCGATCCAGTTCGATCGACTTCAGTCCAGTACAAATTGTCAGCCACCCAATTGACTGCCACAGCCGTTGGTTTTGAATTGCCTTTCATGTTCAAATCTTGTGCGAATCCAATCTTGGCTTGACCATTCTGTGCATTCACCATGTACGATCGTTTGATTGTCTTGTCATAACTGTCAGCCCAGAAGATGATCTGTGTCTCAGCATTGTAATCCAAAGCTTCAATTCGTTTTTCCGCTTGGCACACGGGATCGGCTTCGAGCTGAGCTGTGTACGTTTCACATACAACTGAACGCCTAGGCGTTCATTGCTACGAATGCACGAAAGAAGTGAGAATAGCAATGAAAGCCTAGGCGTTCGGTATTTAAAATGTACATACAAATTATGGAAGCCTCATCGAACGACTGTAGTCTTTCATCAACGCCTATCGCGTTCACCCGGGTTGTGTACAATAAAATTCAAGCATTTGTGAATGGCAAAATCATCCAGAACCAGTATGGTTTTGTGAAAAATCGGTCAACTTCAACGAATTTGCTGCAAATGGTGAACTACTGCCTGCTGGAAGTATCTTGGGAAGTACCTTGTCTCTTTATTATTTTTATTAATGACATTGTTGATTTTGTTCCTTATGCACTTGTTTTGTTTTCACCGATGATTTAAAACTCATATTGAGAATCACGTCGCCGAACGATGCCCGCTTATTCCAAATGACCATTGACCAATTGTACGAGTGGTGTAGGATCAACAAGCTCTACTTGAATCTGAAGAAATGTTTCGTTATGACATATGCGAAGAACATCACCGTACGGAAATATGAATACACGATAGACAATGGGCAGCACAAATTCGATAGAATTGAGTCACACAGAGACTTGGGTGTCATTTTTGACGTGAAACTCACATTCGCCATTCACATTGATACGACAGTAGCTAGCGCACACGGTGCACTAGGTTTTATTAAGCGAACACTGAAAAACAAGTTTACTATAGAATCAGCAAAAATGTTATATTGTGCATTAGTTCGATCGAAGTTAGAGTATGCTAGTGTAGTGTGGCATCCATACCACCAGTCTTATATTGACAAAATTGAATCAGTTCAAAAAGACTTTGTAATCTGGGCACTTAGAGGAATTTACCAAAGAGATGTTAATTACAGGTTGCCATCGTATCAATTTAGATGTGACAATTTGAATATTCAACCACTTTGGAGGCGGCGTATAAATGCCTCAGTATTATTAATCTATGATCTCCTCCTAGGAAAGTTGATTTGCACAGCACTTAGGGAAAGAATTGTGTATACAAGACGATTAGACAACAGAAACCAAAGAAATGTAAGAAATAGAGATTTAGTTAGAATTGAAACTTATGGCACGGACTATGCTCGTAATCAGCCATTTATTGTAGCGTGTAGAAATTTTAACAAAGTAAGGCAATCGTTCTTGGACTCAGCATCAAGGCAAATATTTAGTGGAAACGTGTTCAACTTAGACAACAGTATTTTCGAAGAATTGTATGTATAGTGAATAGTGGTGAACACGGTCGGGGGCCACAGAACGCCACTTCGAAGCCATTAGGACTGGTGGCTAGGCCGTTCGATTCGGGAGTGTCTCACTACTTGTGTAAAATTCAAATTGTAAATGAAATGTATAATGATATTCAGTCTGTGATTAGACGGTAAAATAAATAAATGAATAATAATATGGAATAAACGTGAGAAAGTGTAATCGTGCATGAATAGTAGAAAGTAAAATATCGTGCAGAAAATATTGAATAGAACATAAAATGTGTTTATGATATTAACCGATATTAACATGATATTTATTGTTGAAAAATTTATATGAATTGTCGCTTCAATAGAACACAACATGAAAAATATAAATTTTTGGTGTGTATATCTGTTTATCGCGAATATGATGGGAGAGATCTTTGTTTTACTACCTTTTTTTTAAATATACTGCCACTGGTTTTAAATATACTGCCACTGGTTTAGATTAACTAAATAATATGAGCATAAAACCAAAAGTAACTTTAATTCTGTTCAAGACCCAGAAAATACTATACGAAAAAAGCTTGAAATAATGTAATTTAAAAAAACAAAACATTTTTTCATAAAAATTTGATTAGCGCTTTGAGATATTATGCACTTATTTGTAGTTACTGCCACTGTTTTAGGAATAAATGCAAATTATGAGCATAAAATTTGAATTCCCTATAATTTCTTTCACTAGTCAAACAAATACATTTCATGCAGTGTAGCAATATCGGCACTGCCATTGCGATCAATTGACTACACGATTCATATTTTGTACCGAACTGCGTTATGACTACATATGGTATAGTCTCGCATGAATGGAATATGCGTCGAGCACCAAAAGTGCATTTCTGTTTTCGTTGCAGACTTCAATATTTGTCTGCATCCTCAATAATTTTTATTATTTTCGTCTCGTTTCTACTTTTCTTGTCTTTTTCATCTCCTAATTGCATTTGGAATTTCCCCATACAGTATAACATCAACAAACATGCGTGCGCAGTTCAGCTACGTACCACGTTGGGCAATAAAATTGATGCATTTTCGTCATAAACTGACTTCCTTTTTTGCGTAATTCCCGACGTACCCGACATTATGGTGCCACTTTGTGCTCAAAATGTGCACTCAAAACAATTAGCATATGCTAATCCCTTTTTCTCTTGTCTACCTTCCATACCATTCGGAACTTTAAGCCGAATTGATGGTTCACATTCCCAATATCTTGTCAAGTGCTAACCCATCCCTTTTTACCTACTTATCTCATTTCATTGGTCAATATGCCTTCCCCACTATTTTGCAGAATATTGAT